CATGCCAGGCTCCCGTCCGGCCCTTCACAGTAATCTTCACAGACTCTGTCATCATCCCATGTCCATGTCCCCTCATCTGGAAGCTTGGCTCAATAGATATGCGAGGCTGGTAGACATCATCATTGAGGAGAAGGTGGATTGAGTTGCTCAGTTTTACACGAGGTCTAATCGTCTAAGAACTGATGCCATCCTGCAGCCCTGCCGCGGGCCCAGGTATGTATGTGTATAATCATGTACTTATATGTACATGTACAATCGTATATGTAGACATATGTATGTATATATATATATATGTATGCATATATATATATATATATGGATGCCTTTCTAAACCCCCGCCTCTTGTAGGAAGACTAGGGTAGGCGTTAGGGCGAGTGTGTGAAGACCCCTGTGCGCGCAAGACCGCGCAAGGGCGGGCGCAAGGAATCCTAGCGCCTAGGCATGGCTACTTTAACTTAGGACAGCATCCATCCACATATATATATATATGTGTGTGTACGTATATAGACACATAACATGCAAGTTGTATATGTGCGGCATGGTGTGGTATGAGGTATGTGGTATGTGGTGTGGCATGTGGGGTTGGATGCCATGGCATGGCATGGCACGCATGTACGTTCGTATGCATGTATGGATGTATGTATGTATGTATGTATGTACGCTTGTACAATGTGTGCATGTCTGTATTTAAAATTTCGGTAAATTGACAGACAGGTAGGTCGCCGAATAGATGATATACCTATGCGTATCTATATATATATATATGGTTATGGTACCCAAAGCATGCCCCCGAAGATTCACCATCCAGACAGCACTAGCTTGCAGATTTGAATGGTTACTTGTACGTTTATATACATATATGCATGTGCTCATGTGACTTTATATTCATGTCAGCATGTATGTGTATATTTAAAGATGTCTACTTGTACATACATGCATATACGTATATCTTATGTGCTATAGTATAATATCGTAGAATACCACATAATGTCTATATTATACCTGGACACTCCTTCGTAATGGAAAAAAACATAACGAATTATTTCCACGCGGATGCTAGGAAAAGTACGCGGGCTTGGAAAAGTATGCGGGTTCACGGAAATGTGTTCGATGTTGTTTTGTGAGTATGTTCTCGGGCATCTGGGTGGCTTGCAAGTCAGATCGAGTATACCTTGGGGTTGAATAGAGTACTACCCTACGGTAAGTTAATTAATGATATCGTATGAAGCCTTTCATGATACTCTTAAGGTTGGGGGTTTACTTGCTTTTCAATGCCATCGGGTAGTGAGACCCCAGACCTAAATCCTTTCTCGGAGCTGGGGTTTAGGATTTAGGGTTTAGGGTTTGTTCATAATCGACCTAAGGGACCTTAACCTGGATTCCCTAAATCCTAAACCCATATCGCCCCTGGAATCCTCACAGCACACAGTGCACACCATCTTTTTCCGCGACGGCGACGTCGATGCAGCCTTCCTTTGCCCGGAGCTTACTGCAGAAAGTGACGCCATTGTCTTCTGTACTGAGACAAACATCGAGCAATCGTTCGAGGAACCACTAGCCACTGGTGACATTTTCTAGACGCCCTCGAAACTCGACCGACCCAATCCTCATCGGTCCAGCAACTCCAACCTAAGTGGCGAGTAATGCTCATGATGTCAATATCGATGCTCATGCATGCTCTCTATAGACAAGGGACTCATCGTATTCATGATCCAGCTGGAACCATTGTCGATCGGCCATTGGAGCTCCAGACTTAGATGCGCTAGAAAGACCGAGGCCTAGTGGCCATAGACCTGTAATTTGCTGAAATGCAACATAGGCACACCAAGTGCGCCTGAAGATGCATCTTCGGCCGAAGCCGAAATAAAGGCCATTTTCTCTCGGCCGACAGCCGTGCAAGATGGTGATAGCCTTCCTTGGAAATCGCCACACACTCGATGATTGAGTGAGAGGACGTGAGTGACAAACAGAGAAAACCAATTGTAAGTATTGCACATAAATCATCCACGGGTCCAACATTTTCCAGCCACATTCTACTGCAGTCACGGCTTCACATCTTGGCAGGAAAACCCCACCCCTATAAAGTACCCGATAGTAGGTGTTGACAGCAACCAAGGTCCACCTTAGTAGCTTGAAGATGTCGTGGTGGTTGGGTGCCTCAGGATCGAAATACGAAACATGCGATGTGCGACTTATGTTGCCCCATCACATAATATTTAGCACCAGGCACAATCGTAGTGATATCGATATCGCGGGAGAAGTCGTCCAACCACCCCAGCATGATCGAGCAATCATGCCCCTTCCCAGATCCAGTCGGGAACTGATTCAACCTCAGTACGAACACCAAGTGCAACTATCGGTTCTGTTAGCATGATCTCAAACGGCTATGAATATAAGCTTAGGCATAAACATACATGCTGGGGCTTACTGTAAGGAACGATTCGATCTTCATCATCTTCAAGCTAAACTCCGTAATGGAAGTGGTTTTGCCATGAACTTTGCAGTAGTCGCGGAATATCTCGAAAGCACGGTCCAAGCTGGTTCCAATCGTACTTTCATTGAAAACTCCCAAACGAAGAAGGAGCACCAGGCTTGAAGCACCCAGCGAAGTTCCCCATCCATTGATCGCATACGTGTGCGCCGGGTCAGGCTTGATCCGGCGAGGATCAGTACCGATGGTTGACAAACCCTGAAAAGGCCAATTTCCTGGCCAGAAAGGATCATCGATCGGGTCGTCGTGACGAATAGATCGCACGGGGCTATCTTTGGAGAGGTCGCACCAGTTCTGGGATGGAGCACATCGTATAGAAAAAACACACCATGGAACAGTACTCGATCTGTGTATAAGTGTGTAAACCTAGCTTCGTACAATATATTTTAGGGTTTAGGGTTTAGGGTTTAGGGTTTAGGGTTTAGGGTATATACATCCGAGGATCGTCGATCGAACACAGATGACAAACACGCTTCGAAGTGAAGCCGCTGTACAAGTGACAGGATTTGCGTAAGAATGGCCAGTCGCCTTTGATGGCTGTCACGACCAGATACAGCCGATGCTTGACCCCAGCAATTGTCACCTTGTATCGATACAAGATCATTTAGACTATGCGACAATTCGAACGTAATGATGCTGTACTATGCAGACATGTTGTAGGATCGAAAATGTAAGTCACCTCGACTCCTTCCTTGTACAAGTTCTCAAGATCTTCGGACAATGCATACAGCAGTGTATCCAAAGTGTCGCTGGCGTACATCTCGCTGGGCACAACCGTGTAGAGAAACCTGCTGCAATAGCTGTGCCTGTGGTCCACTGATTCCAGAAGGTTCTGCTCCAGCCACAGTCAATACCCAAAATACTACCCTAGCAGCCCCACGGTAAAACCCGACACTAGCTACCAGCTAAAAAGCTTGTGCTAAATTCTGCTCCGGGCCCTGGTGTATTTGTAACTGCCGGACCGAGGTAGCTGATCAGTGGTTGCAATCCAATGCACATAATAGGGCGCTTAGCCTTGCCTCGCCCCTCATCCCCATGGATTGCAACTGGTATGGATGTCCTTGGAAAGGGAACCTCGATCTCAGGCTGAGACCTGCCGAACTTGCTCCAGAAGTCTTCGAAGAGATGCTGCCAGTCCGCGACCGAGCGGATATTGAAACCGCCCAATAAAATTTCACTGCAATGTTCCAACATATACAAGACCCAACTTGATGGTTGTAGGGTAGGATACGGCATGGTTTCAGCCTTCCTTTGAGTAGGCGGACCCTTGTAGGTATTTGGGATACTTGGATTGGAAGAATCCGGCCCTGTTGATACATCAGCTTGTGGATGTGCCGGCTGCAGTTTGCTTGGGATCTCCCCCCAGAGCCACACAAAGCAAGTTTGTTCAAGGCAGGGTCGGTGGCACCTTCACTTTTAAATAGGCCTATTGTATTTATGGTATGGTCTTAAGTTCCGGACATGGACGAACATCATTGAAGTCTTAATACTAGAAAACACGAGATGAGGCTAGGGGTTTACGATATGTGGTTAGGAGTAGCAAGCAAGCAACCAAAGCCACACCCAACTATCGGTAGTAACCTAGCCTTGAACCCGAGGACTACACCCAAATCAATCGAGGCACCATACTTCTTCAAAGCTCTGGAAGCCACTTGTGCAACACGTACCACCCGCTTGGCACTCTCAGCCTCGTCATACATGAAACCCCGCGGACAAGCCTATGGATTTGAGCCAGGCAACACCCTGTTCGAAGCCATAAAACAGCTCATCCACCAGGTCGTCGGCCGACTCATCGTCGTCCGTTCCTGCAAGGATCAGGCCAGGGAAAGCGATTGGGTTTTGTGCTTAATGGGTTGTCTTGGAACTTGAGCTTTATACGGGTTTATATTATAATTTGGGCTATGGACTACATGCATCTATGTAGCTGTTCAGCTTTCGGACTTCAGTCGAGCCAACGAAATTTTAAGAACACGTACTAGATATATAAAGAGGACATCGATCTTCTTGATCGATTTATAGCATAGCTGGCTAGTAGCTTAGGGCACTATAGTTTTGATAGGGTTGTTTGGGTTTGGTGAGAAACAGTCAGGACTGTCATAAGTTAGCATAACTATAGCCTATAGCTATAGTTTTGGGCACTAAGGTTGGTATAGGATTGGGTTTATTTATACAACACATGTTAAGCAGGACTGTCCTTCTCTCGCCGGCTCGGTGCCACGTTCCAGCAGCCCTGCGTGGGGGGAATAGTTTAGCTAGATTGCACTATCATGACAATATCAGGTGGCCCGTAGCAGCTCTCACGAAATATTTTCCCAACTCGAGCACCCCATGAGCTCGAAACCAGAGCCCTCGCTTTGCACACGATTGGTGCTCCCAGCAGATTAGAGGCAATGTGCACAGCAACGACATACAGCTGGATGCCATGACTAGCTGAAATTGTATACACTATCTTCGTCATCGTTGCAAGGCCGCCTCGCGATGCCTATTGCATCTAGAAAAAGCCAGCACTTTAAGCGCGGGCCTTCTTACCACCCTTAGCAGCAGGAGCCTTCTTCTTGCCCTCTTTCTTGGGGCTCTTCTTGGGCTTGGGCTTAACCCCAGCAACAGATCTTGCACCCTTGATGCTCCTCGGGGGCACATGCTGCCTGTTCAACACTCGCGAGATTGATATAGTTGCAGGTAAGATACCTGGCCCGCGCCGCCAGATTGTTCATCACCAGGTCTTGCTTCGTGATGTTGGCATAGAGCTTGAGCAAGGAGTCGTTGTAAGCCCTGGGGTAGGCAGGGTCGGGATTATATGTGCCCTACTAGGTTAGGTTTGCTTCTCAATCATGACCCGGTGCGATATCAAGCATTAAGATACGGGCTTGTCAGGATGCCGGTTGATAGCATCTGCTTGCTTGTTCTGCAACTCCTTGAAAAAGCCTTTCAGGGCCTTGAGCGACTCCTTGAGTTGATCTTTGAGCCTTAGTTTCCAGGCAGATATTGGTGTCTGCACATATATTGCTCTAGATGGTATACATATTGCATGGAGAGGAACCCGGCAGCTCGTGCACCATCAGCAGCAGCCAGCTTTTCCTGCGACACAGGTATTAGGGTTTAAGGCTTTGGGGGCTTAGGGCTTTAAGGTGTTTTAGGGGTTTCGGGTTTTTGGGCTAGGAAGTTTGAGGTTAGGGGTTAATACGTGTGTGGTGCAGGCTCTTGGGGCTGCGGCTTTTTGGAACCCACGGTCCAACACGTCTTCACTGCAGTCGATCTTCTTGCCGAGTACTTCTAGATACCCAGCCAAAATCGCCAACGGAGACACGTTTTGCTGGAGACTGGGGAAAGTCATCCTTATAGTCATTCAGCAAGTGCGAATCTAACGAAACCATTGACCTACGATTCAGTGCATCATGCAATGGAGTACAGCCAAAACACTTAAAGCTGGCAGCCGCACTGAAAGACTCGAGAGCCTTCCCTGCATCCCCTGAACTTGCGGAGGGGGCCCCGATCTTGCCGGCCAAGACATCTGCATTGGAGGCATGCACCGAGGGAAGCTCGTCTTTCAGCAGGAACCCACTCTCGTCCTGAGTGGTTTCATGTTGAGAACCTAGGACTTAGGGGGTTTAATGGTTGAGCTTTGGATTGCTTGGGGTGAGGCTTTAGTAGCAAAGGCCAGTAGCATAACATGTGGGCTTAATATGGGAGGCCTCAAGACTCAATTTTTAACATATAAATAGTAATAAGTAGATAGCATCGATTGTGACCTGGGCACCTCCATTTCCACTGTTCCGCTCATGCTAATCTCCTGGCCCTCCTCGTCGAGGAGATCGAAGTCTTCGGTCAAAATCAGCTTGGCTTCCTCCTCCCCGTGCACCTCATTTTTGCGTAGAACCTTGTGCTCGTGGGCCCATACCCAGGCCTTCTCCACCATGGGCCTCGCTTATATTGCATGTGGAGTTTAGCACAGACAAGCTGCATTTGGATTGCAACAATGCACAGCAGTAGGCTAATTAAGTCAATCGCCGAGTCCAGTGGCAGTGGCCCATGAGGTAGGCTTTCGTCACATAGGCACCGTGCTTGCCCAGTCTCTTCTTCTTGAGATGGGTTTTGCGGAGGTTCATTTCGAGACTCTTGAAATCCCCATGTGTCTTGAGGAGATCCCGAAGTTGCTCTCCTCAGTGCTCTCATATGTAATTCCCCGAAGCACTAAACTACATCAAGCTTGGCACAGGTATTGCAATCATGGGGCGGCCGGCTTCCGACTTGTACATCTGCAAGGCCTGCTCAGAGCACTTGAGCGAGCCACAGGCCTTGGGCTCGAAGTAGCGACGAAGCCTGCGATGGAAGTTACAGATCCACGTACGTACAGTAGTAAATCGTTTGGGTCCGATCATCAAACAGCAAACACATTAAGCCGGGTCCTCCAGTAGGTAGGAGACTTGGAGCGTTTCCCTTTTGTTTTGGGCCCCGCGGGGGCCACGTCACTGGCACTCGGGCCGGGGCTCGATTCTTGGGAGTTCAGGCGGGTAGGGCCTGTGGTAGGCTTCGGGGACGGGGCTTTGGCTGCTGGCGGGGAATTCAGCTTCGCGGCTTTCGAGGGCCGGGCACAAGCCTTTAGTTCATCCAGCAGCGGCTTCTGCGGAGTCACGAAAGTCTCCTTGGCACATTTCGGTTCCCGGCGCTGTGCATCCTCAACTGCACTGTCATAGGAGTCGAGGCTTGATGTTGTGCCGATGTTCTTGTTGAGGGCTGCCGAAGTGTCACCCAAAGCAACCTGGTGGTTCCCAGCCACTTCAAAAGTGGACGTCCCTCTGGCAATAGCAGGACCTAGGCTAACGAACCCATTGATCATGTGCTCAACTTACACCCAACACTCCATCGACTAATGCTGCCAATGCCTGCAGGTGCTGCTTCACTCCGGGGCGACGCAGGCTTGGGTTCACGTGCTGCAAGCTTTCCTTGCAGTTGATTGATCCGTTCTCTGGCAGCCTGGGCTGTTTAGGATATGAACATATCATGGCTAAGCCTATAGGTTATACAATTCAGACAGGGGACAGCAATCATAGCCGATACATCTTGGGTAGCTGTCGGGGCCACCATGGTGTTATGGGCCAAGAGAGGAATCCCTGCTATAAGGGTGCCGCACGAACCTTGTCGTGAGGTCATGTGCAGTCTTAGCTGCAAAATCTAGATCCTGCGATCAGGCAGACAACAAAGATTATTGCATGTCAGCATGGGAGGCATGTACATCTAGTGCACACATAGGCAATCACATAGGCAGTGGCGACCCCCGTACCAAAGTACTCTTTGCTGGGCATCGCAAGCGGAAAGCAGGCTGTTCCAGTCTGTCCCTAGCTTCTATACAGCCAGACTAGTGAAACAGCTCTGAATTTTATCGGCCTCCCTACGGCTTTAGCTGATTTGGGCTGGTTTGGGCTGATTTGGGCTGTCTAGGGTGGTTTTGGGATTTGGGTTTGTAATGGTTTTTGGGTTTGCGGACGGTTGCGGGGATTTGCGCGCGGGTTGCGCTTATTTGCGCTCGGATTGCGGGTAAATCTGTTCGAGGCTTTTTGCTAAAACAGCATTTAGCAGCCAAAACCGAAAAAAGCCGATGCAGAAAGCAAATAGCCAGCCGGCACCCCAAAGACACTTACCTGGCCTTCTAACTAGAGCCCCAGACCCTAGCCCCCAACGTGGTTCAGGCACCCGGCGAGCCCTTCAAAAGCCTCTCAGAAAGGGCTGGAGCCTCAGCTGCCTCCAGAGCAGCCCGGAGGGTTTCGGAGCCACAAGCCTGGAGCTTGGTTTCGGGCTACAGGGTCTAGGCCTCGGTCTGGTTTTGGGGATCAGTGCCTAAGGGGTTCGGGCTTTCAGGTCGGATGTTGAGGAGATGGGATCGAGTATTTCCAGGGTTGGGACCCCTACAAAATATATACCCCAATATCATCGAAACCCAACACAACTTGGAATCGCAATCTCAAGCCCCGGCTACCAATCAACTCTGGAGCCCTAAACCCTGGACGAAGCCAACCACCAAACCCTGAACTCAAGTACACAATTGCTGAAACACTGAAGCCCGAAGCTATTAAGTGGAAGACCCGATAAAATAACCTAGTAGCATTCTGTAGAACTTCATCTTTGAAAGCCATCATCACTGGCTCCCAGGATTCAGGAATCCTGAGACAGGACATGCTAGGAAAAATCACTATCGATTGTGTCGGCAACAAACTTTTAATGCAGACAAAGGTCGCACAGTGCTTGGATTGGTACAGGTATAGAAACACTTCGTGTATTCTGCTTTCAACCCAAAGATCACCCAATGGCATCCCCAGAAAAAGCTCCTTGTCACTCTGCGAAAGGTCCAGGTTTCTCCTGGGACGGGCATCGGCTCGATCTGCGGGAGGCAGAGCTTGCCAAGATGTGTAGGCCTTCAAGAGGTTCGCCCCAAAGGTTTTGGTGTAGGCCCTGAGGACAGTCAGTCGGTGGGTTGTGGTTTCAGATGAATGCTGGGCTTGGGTTCCACACAGCCGAAGCAGGGAGAAGCCACTGCAACATCTCCTACATCGGGATATCACTAAGGTCGATAGCTCTTGGGTCCTACATCAGCAATTATATTAGTCGAGACTCCCGCTCTTTTTCAAGGCTTCCTTGTGACCAGAGAATCGTGCCACACCGCTCTTGTCGATGAATCTACCTGATCAGCAGAAGCTTGGAATTCTTATTTGGCTTCGGGTCTAATATAGCTAGCTAGGACTTGGGTTGGGTTAGTGCACCGAAGCCACGAACGGTTTGCACAGTTGTCCTTCTCAGTCGTTCGGCTTTTCTCAAAGGCCCCAGGTCTAGCTGAGAGATGGTGGCCATCGACGACCACAGTATAGTTCGTTTAGGACAAGGCCCATCATGCAAGGCCATCCAAAAGGATTGTTTATAGACCTTCCGGGAAAAGATTGCAATCGATCACTGCTTTCAGGGTTGAAGGGCTTCGGGGTTTAGGGGCTTCGGGGTTTAGGGGCTTCGGGGTTTAGGGGCTTCAGGGTTTAGGGGCTTCGGGCCGGGGTTTAGGGGCTTAGGGGTTTAGGGGCTTAGGGGTTTAGGGGCTTATAGGGGTTTAGAGGTTTAGGGGGTTTCGGGTTTAGGGTGGTGGGTGCTTGTATGCGGGTGTGTGCGTGTGTGTGTGTGTGAGGGAGAGAGAGAGAGAGA